TGCACAGGACTTCCACACATTTCTGGTTTCAGCGTGTGATTCACACACGCTTACGTCTGCCCTTATCATCAAACATGTTCATATCCACAGAAAACCTTTCCAAGGTTCATAGCCATCTCTTGATTTCGTCACCAAGATAATGGTACCCAGGCTGTACAGTAGGGACAGGAAAATTACGGAATACCCAGGAGACAAAAGCATGGCACTGCAAGTAAGGATCTAAGAAGGCACCATAGCGCACCTTAGAGCTCTGTCTAGGCCAAGGCAGGATACTTTCTAGTAGTGGCAGAAAGAAATAGTAGTTGCCGTTTTCTAGTAGGGGCAGAAAGGACAGCTGTTGCCATTCACAAACAGGCAGGTCAGTTACCTACGTACCATAAATATCAAAATCCCACATTTCACAGCTCATCTGAATAAAAATATAAACCATGGCAGAAGTGGAACGGAAGACCACCTGCAAAGGAAAGCAAGACCTTATTTCAAACAAGGTAAATTCACTAAAAGGACCAAATGCAGAAGTTAACTACAGAGCAACTTATATGACTGTGCCCACTGCATCATAGGAGATTTCCCCTCTAACAAGCTGACATTTCAACAGCTTGAGTAACTCCTAGAGCTGCCAGTGCAGAACAGCTGAAGTTCACTAATCATTCATTCTCCTGAATTAATTGCCATTCTTCACCTTACAACACAGCCAGTTCAGAAGATCCACACAAATCTGCAAGCGAGATAGAATTACAAGAAACCTGGCAAGGAAAGGAAGGGAAAAACTTCCTTTCCCCTGCTCCTTGAAATCTTACCCGGGTGTCCTCACTGATGTATCCACAAGTGACTTTCTCACTCTTTACCCACAGCTCACCTGCCTGGGCCCTGCAAGAAAAGGAATGCAGAAAATCTGCTAAGCAGAGTGAACATGAAGATCAGAGAATCGATAGTTGAGCAAATAAGGGACGTACCAAAATCTGCATTCAAAATGACTTGCAGACAGAGGAGAAGTTTACTTGGTTAAAACCTAATAGCTGCTCTTTAATCTAAAAGATGTCACACAACCATTTCCCTCTGCATCCACACATTTCCTTGTCCCTTTGTCATCTCAACAGCAACTGAAGTAACCCTCATCTGAACTATTAATACATCTTGGGAAGGGAGGAAATATTACAAGAAGTATAAGGAAAATTATTTGACATTCAACAAAGGCAACAAGTGTGGCTGGCTGTCCTACTATTAGTTTCTTCCACCCCAAATCAGACAGAGAAGTCTTCCCCCACCCCACGGTGCAGATAGAAATCTGTAGAAGAGTAACAGAAAAATAAAACATGAAGGATTTTTCAGAGAAGATTCTCCAATTGGCTCTGGAATTATTAATCTAAAGACTGAAGTACCAGTAGGCCCTCAAAGGAGGCACTGACCTGATACCCGCAAATTCAACTTTTTGGGTGACATATGCACATGTGCTGACCTAAAAAAAGAACAGTTACAGGTGTTAAAAGAACAGTAGGCTCAGAGTGAGCAGCCCAATTTAAAAAAAAAACCCAAAACTTCACTCTCAAACACCACTATTATCTCAGCCTATACAAACTCTGCAACAGACAACAAGAAATAGATTTTAACACACATGAACTTTTACAGGGCTTGTTTGTCTAATTCGCTGCACTTAGAAGAGCCAAAGACTGCACTTCAGAAACACAGAAACAAAATATTCTAGTAATTGCTTATGAAGTGGTACTATCAGAGAGAGGACACTTTAGCACACTTCTACTGGATTTCATTTCTTCCAAATGTAGTAAATCATTAAAACTCAGAACACAAGAAAAAACCCAAACATCTGAACAGCACTTTCAGCACCCAAGGCAGTAATTAACATTACTGCAACGGAGTAGGAAATGATGGGATTATTCTTTTCTGCAACCCACTTACATCCATTTCTCCAGCTCTGATGTACCACTTGGATAAGTTTTCAGGAGCTGCTGACACTGGTCTGTCCCCAGTTTTCTGTATTTTGTAAAATGCTTATTTGCATTTACAGCAAGCAAAGAAAAGGTATGTGATCTTCTCCACCCTACACATCAGGACAGTAGAGGCCTTACCAAACTTTTCTTCAGTCGCCACATATCCCCACGTCCAATATACTGATCTTTAAAGGTCAGCTCCACCAAGTCCAAGGTCACCTCCTGGGAAACAGAAGAAAAAACAGTGCTTAGATTTTACTGGCTGTTTCTAGGGAGCAACCTTCAACCTGTTCTGGTGAGAACCAAACGTTACAAGGAGGGCTGTTCTAAAGTAAGTCAATACTCCATGTATATGTGAGCTAAATGGGAAGTCCCATCAGAATAACTGCCGAAGTTGTGTATGTACATGGAACTACTGTGAGCTGTAAGACACTGCATAACGTTACCAGAAAAAGCCCAAGGACTCAACCTGCACTACAAGTCTCAGTGCAAACTGGAAGCACAAGTAAAACAAATTACTCCCATTGTTCATGGCATTAATTAAGCCTTGTTTCTTGCAGATTTTAGTCTTGTGTTCAGTGTAAGCTAAGTCTGAAGCTCTTTTGATAGTTGGGACATTTACAAGAGATGCCTATTTTACAAGGCTCTCTAGTGTCAAATAATGCAAATCCACACTACGGCTCTTTCGAACAGGCCACTTTCTGTTTCTGTTTACTCTGCCAGCTTATCCTGAATTTCTGGAATTTAAAACATAGAATCACAGAATACCAGGTTGGAAGGGACCACGAGGATCGTCCAGTTCAACCTCTCAAGGTAAAAGTATAGTTTAAATGAGATGAGTCAGCACCCTTGATAGAAATTTCTATCAAGCTGTGTTGAAGGTGGTCCATAGACTTCAAAGAGAGCAGGGACGGTAGG